AAATCCTAAAACATGATTTTCTTTATTTTTAATACAAAGCCCCAATAACAATTTTTATGGATGTAATATCAAAATAAACAAATTTTCAGTGATATTACTTAACAATGACAAAATTTGATACAATTTTCATCCTCTGTTTAACCCGTTTGAAAATGGAACTTTCTAAAATCCTGAAACACGTGTTTTTTGTTTTTAACTGAAAGTCCAAATATCAAAAATGGAATTAATTAAAAAAAAATACCAATATTTTACGAAATTTTACCATTGTTCAACTCCGTTTGGGGTGGAATTTTTCAAAAATTTTGAAACACGTATTTGTTTATTTTTAACCGATTGCCTAAATACCAATTTTCAAGGATTTAACTTTAAAAATGACAAATTTTAATATAAACTGTTATCCCTGTTAAACCCCCTTGGAGATTGAATTTTTAAAAATCCTAAAACAGCTTTTCTTTATTTTTAATCGAAAATCTAAATCCCAATTTTCATAAATATAATTTCAAGAATGACGAATTTATAAGTATTTTTACAAATTTTTATCCTCTGTTTGATCCCTTTAGGGATGAAATTTTCCAAAATCCTGAAACACGTCTTTTTTGTTTTTAACTGAAAGCCCAAATACCAATTTTCATGGATTTAACTAAAAAAAATCGGATATTTTACTACCATTTACCCTTGTCCAACCCTCTTGAGGGTGGAATTTCCAAAAAGCTTAAAATACGTATATTTTTATTTTTAACCAAAAGCCTAAAGGCCAATTTTTATGGATATAACTTTAAACCTTCAAATTCACCTCTCTATTTTACCGCCCTAGGGGTTGATTTTTCAAAAATCCTTTCTTAGTGGATGCCTACATTACAAAAGGTATCTACTTTGCAAATTTCAAAGTTTTATCTCTCTTTTTATGTATAAAGTCTTTTTATATATAAAGATAGGTTTTTTAAGAAAAAACAACATTTAAAAATTTTCTAGGTTGCCATTAAAAAAATTAATACGGTCCTGTAAAAGTGAAACACGCTGTATTGGTTACTTTTTTTATATGTAAGATGTGTAAAAATTAATAAAAAACATATTTTTTTAAATGTTTGTAAAATAAAATAAATAATCTGTGCAAGAACAAAGACAACATAGTCAGTAAAGTAATACTTTTTCAGTCTGTTATGTCATTAATTAAAATCGATTTGGAGAATAAACTAATGACTTGCCTCTTACATACATTTTTTTCTTATTTTTTTTTGTACTTTTTGTTATTATTTATTGTAAACATTAATTTTCTTTCGTGTATTGAACTAGCCTTGTCTAGTGAATGTTAAATTTCTGAATTTGATAGTAAACCAATATGTTTTATTTAATAACAAATTAATGATTTGAGTGTATGTACATATTTCTTTTCTATAAATAGTGATTGTTAAAATACCTTACAAAAGAAAAATTAAAAAAATTTTGAAAAATACATAAGTAGGTATATTGAATTTCAAATAAAACTGAAAAATTTCTGTAAAACTAAAAAAGACTTTTATAAACCTATAAGGCAAAATGGAAAGGATTTTAATTAATTATGTCTTGGGTGGT